AAGGAGCTTGGACTCAAGGCGATTCTCAACTTCGATAAAATGGCGAGGTTTGTGATCTAAGGATTGTAGAGGTGCATAAGGGCCCGCTTAAGCGGCCTATGCACTGGCTCCTTATGGTGGCCGGAATGCCTCAAGATTCATTCATTCAATATGTGTGTAGTACGCTCCTCTCGCTTCCCGCTCTAGTACAAATTGCAATCCGATCGCCCTCAACCTTTAACGATTCGCAAGGTATTTGTAGGTTTAGTACTCCCTATACACTGAGAAACAAATTTGTCTGACGGCTTGAGTTCAGTTTGTACGAGTGAGAGTTTATAGACACATATGTTAGAAAGATATAGAAGCCTGGATAGAGAAGCTCATCACCTCATTGCCTAGCAGAGCTGATGCGGCAATCCGCCGCTTTGCCAATATGTTACACCAAAATACGTGTTAGTTTACTCTCTACGCCCAAACAATGGTTTTATTTTGAGCGCACACATTTTTGAATTGTGAGTTGTGTCGAATCTGTTTAGGGTCGATTGCGGATCGGTCCTAAGGGCGCTCCTTTTTAGGTCGTTATTCCTGCATTCCAAGGCAAGGTTTCCATCTCTATTATTATAGATTAGCGATTTTAGGCAGTACCCATCCAGCGTTCGTTGGGGAGTGTCGTACTGCCTTCAAATCGTTACAAAATGTACCAATAACTCAGGACGTGTTGATTTTATCACGATTAGTAGAAATCAAAGATAATTCTAAAATAAATTAAAACGCTAAGCCGCATCAAAATTGAAATAAATAATTCTGATAATAATGAAAACAAAATGTTCGAACATTCCTCCTTCTTAGTTTTGAGAGTAATCTGACCTATTGTAGAAGCCTGAGCGAACATTTTCTGGTGTAACATATTGACAACGCGGCAGATTGATCTTCTGCATCACCGTCGCTAGGCAATGTGGTGATGACTTTTGCTTCTGTCTCCTTCTAGCATATGCGGATACACACTTCTCGCGCCTCTCTCTCGTACACACTGAACTCGAGCAGTCAGAATGATTTCGTTTTCCCTGTATATTCTAGTGAACAAACGTTTAACATGTCAACACCCTTCAAATTGACATGCTCAGTTCATATCGGCAAGCAAAGTGTTCTGTTCGTCGCCAAGTAAAAACATACAAATATTTGCAAGAGAACTAGAACCCGCTGGCCTATATAAATATTTCCTCTTCGCTATTTCCGTCTTTCGCGCGATATTTCTCGGCACAAATGTACCCCTTTCCGCATTTTACCACCGATAGTGTAAGCATTTTCTATGCTCGATTATATTTCACGAAGGCAAAACTTTTATTTCGGTCTGAAGAAAATTTCCGTACAACTTGATGATGTGTCTCATTCTAGATGGCGGTTCTCTCGATATCCATTTTCCTTTCATTAACGCTATGTGCATAAACACGTCTCCTGCTTATTCTCCTTATATATGCTTTAACAGTTGGAAACCTTGCTCCCAGGTGTACCCTGATTATAGTAGGTCAATCGAAATGTTTGATTTCTTCCACTTTTATCGCGCAATTTTCAATCGTGTACGCTACTAGACATTCACGTCTATCATTTTGTCAGTAAAGTAATAAAATGGAGCATGTTGCTGGCTTTTGGGAGCTGGGGGTACCGCTTACAACACTTATCATTTAATTACATAGTGTTGAAATGTTATTGCACTTGGCTTCAACACTCCCCCTGGAGCTAGTTCAATGAGCAGCCGAAATTTAGCATCTAAATTAATTATAGTACTGATTAACGTAGCCTATATGAAGGCACCAAACTGTGTATTATATTTCTGCCTCCAAAAAGCGTTTTGAGGTACTAGAATCATCTTTAAAGCAACTTCATCACAAAAAAATGAAATCCACAGCGAAAAGGGTAAGACTGTTTAGTTCTGCTACTGTCTAATAGGTAAACCTAGGGTCTTCAATCCCATTTTGGCGCCACTTTAATGCCTATTTAGACAGGCATGTTCAGGAATTGATTAGAGTATTCCAATTGAAGATACCCAATTATAATCATGCACCGGATAAGCACCAAAAAGGTATTGAAGAGACTAGCGCCATCTGTTAAATAGTAGCAGAACCCAATTCGCTAACTCTTGTCAAAGTAGATTTCTGAATTTTTGTATTCTGCTACTGTCTCAAATGTGGCGTTAATACCTTTCAGTTTCCTTTCGGGGTACCTTATATGATTATTATATATCAGAATACGTTGACCAATGGTTACAATTACCCATATTGATCGCTAACCTGCGATTAAGAAAACCGGGACTGTCAGAGGCAGCAACATAACTATCGTCTTAGGCAGGGCTAGAAGAATATGTACGAGTACACTCACCATAAAGCTGTTGACAGACCTCCAATAATTTGTTTGGTAAAATAATCTGGATCAAACCAGATCGCAACCTTCCTTATCGCTTAGTTAAACGCTGTCATTACATGCACAAAATGTTTAAGAAGAAAGTTAAAGTAAAGGCGAAACAAAAGTTAAAGGCGAGGCTGTCATCATCTCAATATTGTTTCCAACGCAGCATCCAGATTCCAACTTTCTCCCAATACAAATTTTTCGTAATTATCCTTAATCACGCCTTATATTTTTCCTCTATTCCGCTTCACTTGAATTCAGGGAGAAAAAAATGTGATTAAAGGAAAAGTTTGTTCGTTAGAACAATGTGCTATCCGGAGGAAAATCTACAGCAAAGTTGCGGCAATGGAACAGAAAGTCGCAATGAATGCTGGGTGCCTTTGTTACTTGACATACATACCAGAGGAAAACAAAGCCTAAGTAAACTCAACGTTAAGTAAAAAATTTGGATGTTCATCTAGATTCTTGTGCTTAGAAATAGTGTTGTCGTAGAAGGATCTTTCTGGAACGTACCGGGAGGGGCAATAATAAAAGACGCTAGGCATATCTCGGCAACCGCTCAACCTAGAGCAATCGGTTAAGAAAAACCTGATAAAAGTCGCCAAGAGAGATTGCTGTGAATTATTTTCAGCTTCCTAAGATGGTTGCTTGGTGACGTCATTCCAATTTCAATAATCCAACGCAATTATTTCGCAAAAATATATAAGTGAATAATAAATTGGTTAAGTTTTTTGTTCATGCTGTATTTTCATGTTTTGGTAAATTTAGAGAGGGGTAAGTGTTGAACGTTATTTCAGCAAAAGTCATATAACTTCTGTTTGTCGGAACCCATTATGACCATTTTGATTTGTTTTGGAAGAGCAATCGCCTGCGCTCCTAATGAATGCTAACCCTGTCAGATTAGTTCAGTTTGTAGATTTCATTAATACTCTTTATGAAACGAAATAGCTGCTATAATATTTCTATCTCATATACAGGGTGATGTACAAGTCGTGACCAAAAATGAAACATCATACACCTGACAGCATTTTAAGGGGGGTCTTCTATGTAACATTTTTTCCTCGAGGGGTTCATTAAAAAGATACCGGATGTTTAAAAATAAAACTTTTTTTCTTAATATCTTCAAAATCGTCAACTAAAATGAACTAAAATATAGTATGTGGATTTACCTAAGTATTGTCTACATTCAAAAGTCTTTACTTAAAATTCACGTGCGCCAGTAGCGGAGATACAGGGGATTAGTGGCATTACTTTTCCAATAGTACGCCACTACTTTTTTCGGAAACGCGCAATTTTTCGAATTTAACCTTCAATTTGCTACAGATAATTCTTGTGGTTTTTCCCTAGAGTGCACTGTTTTCGTACAAATAAAAATAAAACAAATTGGATCATTCATGACGAGCTAATATACAATAGTTTCAAAATAAAAAATGAGGCCTTGATACAAAACTTGACGTTTCTTGGGAAATACTTTGCCAAAGTTATGTGTTATACGGTTGTTATCGTTACTACTAATTTTTTTTCTTGTAAAAGACAATGAAAAAGTTTGTTTTTACCATTTTTGAGTGCTGTGAAATGGAATTTAGCAATGAGTATGCCGATAAATTTTAGTGTATGAGTTTTGCAATGCAAATGCTTTAGCGCTTTCTCGTTATTATCAGTGTAGATTTCCTAACCGACGTCAACCTACCTCAAAGGTTTTTACTAATTTATTATTACGAAAACAATGCACTCTGGACACTAGAGTAATTATTTATAGCAAAGTGGAGGAAAAAATGCACGTTTAAAAAAACAGTGGCGTACTATTTTTATTTCGAAAAATAATGCCACTTATCTCCTAAATCTCCGCCACTGGTGCACGTTAATTTTAAGTAAGGACTTCTGGATATGGATAATATTTGGGTGAATTCACATACCACATTTTTGTTTATTCCAGTTGACGGTTTTGAAGGTATTATAAAAATTTTTTTTTAACTTCAACACCCCGCATCTATTTAATGAAGCCCTCAAGGAAAAAATGTTACATAGAAGTTCCCCTTAAAATGCGGCCCTGTGTATGATGTTTCATTTTTGGTCACGACTTGTGAGTCACCCTGTATAACAAATACGTAGAAAACCTGGTAAGACATGATGTATAGGGGAAGGGAGGGCAAGATGGAAGGAGTAGGCAAGATGGAAACTACCTACCAAACCCGAACCGTGTAACGAAGCGCGTGAGTCCACACGGACACAGAGGCATGCGGCCATCTTGCATTTACGAACGACAGCTGAGTCCGGTACGATCACCTCACGAGTGTACACGCTTGCTTCTTATTTTCGTTGCAAAATATTACGCAGTTATTGGATTTTTATGATAGGATTATTTAAACAAGGTGAGTAATATTACTATTATGAATTTATATAAAGTATCTATGCTGAATCGATTGTATAAATTGATATTTAAATAAGAGAAATAATAATGCATTTTCAAATTATTGATATTATTATTGGAATGGGTCATATGGGATGGAAAATTGCAATTTGGGGCAAGTTGGAAGAGTTTCCATCTTGCCCGCGCACATTTTGATATCTGTTTTAAATTTCTATAACTAATATTGTTGTTTTTAATTTGTTCTTAGATGGTGAACAAGTATATAAGGAAAAGCAATAGAGGTTCTTGGACCGAAGAAACGATGCAGATGGCGATGAATGAAGCTAAAACTACATCAATAAGCTCGGCGTCAAAAAAATATGGAATTCCAATTGGAACTTTACATCGTCATATTAAAAAAGGGGACTCGTCCAAAAACCTAGGAAGGTTTAAACCTGTTTTTTCGAAAGAACTGGAGAGGGAAATATGTGATCTTGCAATGGAACGTGATATACTTTTTTATGGTTTAACAAAGCGAAGTCTACAACAACTAGCATATGAGGTAGCGAAAGTAAATAATATTCCGCATCCTTTTGCATGTGAAAAAGCTGGAAAGGCATGGCTTGATGGTTTCATGAAAAGACATCCCCAACTGGCGTACAGGACACCAGAACCCACAGCTTTAGCTCGTTGTTCTGCTTTAAATCGCACGCAAGTGAATCGGTTCTATAATAACCTGTGGAGCATTATATCTCACCATAACTTTTTGACAAGACCCGATGACATCTATAATATGGATGAGACTGGTGTCAAGACCAGTGCTTCCAAACCTCCAAGAGTTATTCCTGTAAAAGGTAAAAAACAAGTAGGAGTTGTAGCAACAGAAGAAAAAGGGCAACTTACCACAGTAATCTGTGCTTGCAGCGCAACTGGTCGATTCATCCCTCCTTGCTTTATATTTGGACAAAGAAAAAGAATGAATGAACGCCTTCTAGATGGAGCTCCTAATGGTTCTCTAGCTTGGGTTTCAGATTCTGGTTGGATAACTAACAGCACTTTTAACAACTGGCTACAAATTTTTATTGATAAAACAAGACCAAAACAAGACAGACCAGTTTTATTGATTCAAGACAACCATTCTACTCATCAAAACTTGGAAGCTTTGAATTTAGCTGGACAAAACCATGTAATTATGGTCAGTATTCCCCCCCATACGAGCCATAAGCTACAACAGTTTACCGTTCATTCAAAGTAGCTTTTGAGCAAGCGCTAGATACTTTTCAAAAGAATCATCCCGGAAGAAGGGTAAATCAGTTTGATGTAGCTAGACTTGTCTGCATTGCCTATGAAAAAAGTGCTACTGTACAAAATGCCACAAGTGGGTTCAGAAAGGCTGGCATCTTCCCATACAATAGACATTTATTTACAGATTTGGATTTTGCACCTGCAACTGTTTATGAAAATGCTGCAGTTATTGAAGAGCAATCAAATACTGCTGTAATAGATGAAGGAGACAAAAATAAAGACCCTGTCGTTGCGGAAAACATAGGTTTAAATAATAATAATGTTACAGAAATTGAAAATCCATGTGATGTCATCAATGATCCTGTTGACAAAAACAATACTGATGAACCATCCGCTGGCAACGATAGTGAAGACAAACAGAAAGAAGAAAAGGAACTTAATTCTGATGATAAAAAAAATGAAATGAGATAGTACGCTTGAAACTCGTTCCAGTGTTTTTGATAAGAGCTGGGACCAACCATCCACTTCGCACTATATTTCTCCAATCAAAATTCTTCCATCACCAAAAGTTACTCCTACGATAAAGAAGCGGAAAGCGAGATGTCAAAGGTCAGAAGTCTTAACCATTTCTCCATTCAAAAATGCTATTGAAATGAAAATTGAGATGAAAGCGAAACCAAAGTTATTATTTAATCGGACCATTAAAGGCAAGGAAAATCAAAACAAGGAAGTACGAACTTGCGAGAATAAAGGAAAAGGGAAAGGAAAAGGAGTAAAAACAAAAAAAGATAAACATATTGTACCAAATATAGAGCAGTCTTCACAAAATGATGTGTTGTTCTGTGTATTATGTGGGGAACCTTATGTGGAACCGCCCACAGAGGACTGGGTACAATGTCCTGTATGTAGTGGTTGGGCACATGAATTGTGTACCGACACAGAGGATGGTAGTTTTATGTGTATAATCTGTAAAATGTAGTGATTTCCTGTACATTCCATCTTGCCCGAACAAGCTTTCCATCCTGCCCCCAGGGTAAGGGTAAGATGGAATTTATAAAGTTATTTTTTAGCTACTCATAGAAAAAAATTTACTTATTATTATTAATGTTTAATGGCCTAAGTTTGTAACTGTATAAGGTCTGTTTCAAGACTGATTAAAATAAAAGTTCTATATCACGTTATTTTATTTTTTATACATCATAAAGTTAAGCCTTCCATCTTGCCCTCCCTTCCCCTAATTGAATGTTTTTCATAGCTAAGCCCTAGCGACTACGGAATTGAATGTTTTCTAACGTTAACGAAAAAGCAAAAAAATTTAAATTTCCTGATATCGTGTCATATTGGTAGATTTTCCACAACTATACATAGCATGAATCCTTCTTCTAAGTCAGCTGAACTTGAAAACTGTAATTTAATCTATTATTAAATATATCTCTATAACAAATATAGATACTGGTCAACGGTTTTAACTATTTTATGCACTTCCTGGAGTCAAGCCATTTGATAACGCCAGGAATGTATATTCCCTACCTTAGCGGAAGTATCGACCATCTGGATCGTTACTGAATAACACCACTGAGTCATGCCAGTAGTGCGCGGTCCAAACAAGATTCTTCTGGACACGTAGCGGGAGGTTTGTAATAGCGCCTGCGAGCGTGATCCAAAAGCGACGCATCTATTGAAAATATTTGTCTAATGCAAATGTCTAGGAAATCTATATCATGAGTGAAATATGTACTAATAGATACCTTCAAGTCACTGGATTTGGAAGCATATAAATGTACTAATACCAAACAATCCAGACAAACCCACCCCCCACTCTATAATCCTCAATCTCCAGTTTTTCCCCCTCAAAAAAATTTCCGAAAAATATTTTCGTATTTTGCCCACTGCTCTGCAATATCTCGACGGGGTTTCAAATACTACAAATCTTCGTATTAGGTACAGTTAGGGGGGCCAGGGATTAGAGGACAGACATAGAGACCGATGGAAATGACTGACAGATTTCCTTGATTTATGTCACATGCCATATAAAATATAATGGGTGACAAAAAAGGTAAACACCGAATTCATTACAGATGGGTAAATCAAAATAATACGAGCCGATTATATTAGCTTTACTGCTGTAGCATGAACTCGCGTTTTTATTCCATTTTAATAGCTACAGTCTGCAAACCGTGTAGCTGCAGAATTGTGCATTGATTAATATTTAACGACTGCTGCTTTCAGAGATAATAAAACGCCCATAATGCTACTCGAGCCATCTCTAATCAGTGGTTTGAAAAGCTTGAAAGGATAATAATAATAATAATAATAAAGGGTCGTTATTGCACTAAACATTTAGTGACCTACAATTTGACAGAGAGCGTCACGTTCAACACACCGTGGGAGTTATGTCACGGGGTGCTAATATGACAGTCCGATGCTATATTCAGGAAGTAATGGAAACTCATCTTATTTCATACCTAAACACCATCCAAAACCCGATTTTTCAGAAGAGCAATGCCAGAACGGATGTTTCCAGATCTACGTTAAGCTTCATCGATCAACATCGCATCAACCATTTACCTTTATCACAACGATCGCCTGACCTATCTCCAACTGAACATGTCTGGGACATGATAGGTCGCAGGGTCTGGAATTTGCATCACCCTGCACAGACCGTAGCAGCTCTTACTCATGAAGTTTCAGTAGCCTGGAATGAGATACCCCAACAGGATATCGACCTCCTTATTAGTCCAGGCGTGTCAATGAGTGTATAAGAAATTGTGGATCCTCAACACATTATTGAACCAGCTTCTGCAGTCTGTTGACGGATACAGCTAAAATTTAATAATTTTACTGGTAAGAGACACTGAACATTCCAAAAATCATTATGTTTTGTCACTCAGTAGGTATATAACGCAATAAGTGTATCTGATTTCCGAATTTTTTCGCGCTTACAATACTTCCTAGCCAGTGGCGAGAGTAAAAAGGGATAATCGTGAAATTATGTAAGGTGTTTCATCTGGATTCTTTGAGACCTTATAACATCATGTGTAGGAGAAACGTACAATTTAAGAATTGTTTGTATGCCAAGGTCGTTTAGGACAAAACACAGGAGAAGCTACCAGTATTTCTAAGCACACAATTCCAGACTGTTCCTTCTTGTTACCAAAAAGATGGCATACAGGAAGTCGCACTAGTATTGCCACTTTCTTAGCTTGAAATAACGAACATTTTCTCCGCCAGACGATAAAAGTTTCAAGTTTTAAGACATCTCTCCCAAATCACCACGGAACGCTTATGAGATAGCATTATGGGAGTTTTATTATCTCTGAAAGCAGTCGTTAAATATTAATCAATGTTCAATTCTGCAGCTGCATGGTTTGCAGACTGCAGCTATTAAAATGGAATAAAAACGCGAGTTCATGCTACAGCAGTAAAGCTTAAATAACTGGCTCGTATTATTTTGATTTACCCATCTGTAATGAATTCGGAAGCAACGGCTGGTTGCACCGCCTTGTTAAGGTCGACTTCAAGCGATGCTTTCCTTCGATGTTTTTGTTGTACCACATACACTTAAAACTTGAGGGAAACATAAACAGATGGTCGAGCTATGACGATGAGCTTCTCTGCTCAGACTGTTTCGAAAAATTGAATGTATGAAGTATGGACGTACGCTACTCCTGGAACTTATCCTGTTGTTTTCATGTTCATAAGGTTCCATTGTCCGGCCAATCGGTTGTGTATTACATCATTTCCTCACAAGACAAACGACATGGTTCTCTTTAGATGTAGAAGTGCTACCTTTCGCATTTCAGATCCACTAGCAATACACATGCAGCATTGGTAGTCAAAGATTTCACAATAACGTATTTCCTAAAAGTGTTGGCACAAATTGCAATGGCTTTAATTTTAACAAGCACAAAATAACATCAAGTTGCCTTTGGAAACAAAAGTTTGTTTACTTACTTTACTGTCAGTTGACTTTTATTTATTTTGTGGTTTTCGCTTTAAGATGTCGTATAAATTAGAAATAAGAAAAAGTATCTACAAGTTGGCTGAAAGCTGAAATCCATTTAACGAGCAGTAGGGGAGACCGGGGTTGGTTGTTACGATTTTTATAAATACATTATTTAAATTTTTCCTATTAGTACCACAAATTTCATTTTACCGTATATTTATATTACTTAACCTTTGTGCATAAAAAACATAAAAATTAAATCTTAAAAGCTAATAAAAATAAAGTTTTTATTAATATAAACAAGAAAAGCAGAATGTCACAACTTACCCCGCTTCGGGGTTGGTTGTTACAATGCTGGGGTTGGTTGTGACAAGATCTTGTGAAGGCCCCATATTTAAATATCATCATCAGAACTACAGTTTAAGAAAATAAAAAATGGATTTTTATCTGTTGTATGTGGTTCTGCCTTGGGCGTTGGGCGCAAATTCTGTGGAGATGAGTACGATTTTATTCCAGAGGGTCCAGGGAAATCCTTGACTTGTAAATCATCTCTTTCTTTGTTAACCTCTCGTAAAACTGAAGGTAAATTTACCACAACCGGCGAAATTGGAGGGGTTATTTGAGATTCTTCCCGTTCAGTTAATTGAGCTTTTTCTTGTTCAGTTAACTGAGCTTCTTGCTGGGTTTCGGCTTGGTTTGGAACTTGTTTTTTAATATTTGAATTGGGACGATCTGTAACAGCTGCAGGAAGAAACTCATCCTCTGTGAAAATGTTTCTGTTAACGGGGAAAACTCCACTTATTTGAAATCCAGCCTGGATATTCTTCGGGGTAGCAGCCAAAGGCAAAGCATCTTTAACAATTTTAGGTACGTCATAAATTGTCATTGTTTTGCCAGGATTATTGCGCATCCAGGAATCGCAACTGGTATTGATATATTTCTTAAGAGGCCCATAGACAGATCGATCTAATGGTTGTAGTTTGTGTGAACAATGCGGGGGCATGGAGATCATAACAATGCCATTTTCTTTGCAGTAGTTAATGCCTTTTACTGAAAGATGTGACTCGTGGTTATCGAGTAACAGTAAAACCGGTTTTTCTTTAGATGACCTACAATGTTTTGCAAAATGCTCCAGAAAAATACAAAATTCGTTTTCTGTCATCGACCCCGATAGTTTGGCGGCTCCAATACAGCCAGCCATTGTTCACAAAATGATCTCTGTAGTTTTTTCTCGGAAACAGGAGCATCGGAGGGATTGAATTGCCGCTAGCACTGATAGCAAAACAAAGTGTTACTAGGGCAGATGTTACAAACCCAACCTGCTTAGCTCCCCTTCTAGCAACGACTCTATCTGGCTTCTGCACAGTTGTTATACCCATTTCATCGACAATACAGATGTCTTGTGGTTCAAATTTATATCGATCAACCACTCCTTCAGTCAAAAAATGCAGAAACATTTGTCTTGTTAAAGCTGGTGATTCGACCAAGGCTAGTCGCCTCGGGAACCCTGAGAGATAATCGTGGA